ATTATAAGTGATCTACAGGATTTCCTAGTTCTATTGTTCGGTCAATTGGTAGATCCCTCGCTGCAGCAATCGATCGATTTCTCATCGGCACATGCCATTGCTGCCAGTTCTTACCTGAAATGGCATTTTCGCTTCAACTCGCTTCACGCCGAAGCCTGGGCTGAAACTCTGCATCTATATGGAAGATGAACGTGGGAGTCGACCGCGTGAATTTAAGCCATTCTTATCTGTCGTTATCACTGATATCACCATTTTATCATTTATCACTGATGATATCACAAAATTGGATCATTTTTGACATACAGTAAGGAATGTACTTTAGGAAACGCTGTGCGAGTTTTTACCGCTCTATCTCTTATAGAATGTGATCTACAGGCTTTTTCGGTTCAATTGCGCATTCGGTGCAGTAGATAGATGCTCTTTCAAAAAAATTCACCGCTCTATAAATTGTGAATGAACGGAGTCGCCTGTCAACAGGAGTTTCAAAGATGAGCTGAACACTTCTGTTTTCTGCGTATGACATACAAATCCAGATCCACAAAGGTGATCGATCTAAGGTGCGAAACGGCGCACACGCGTGCTCGAGCATCTTTCCATCAGAGTCCACACGCCCGCGAACGATGCGCGTACATAGGCTGTTGCCTCCCTATCGAAGTCTTTTTGAATTTTTTCATGCTCTACTCTATTCCTTGCTATCTACAACAGCTCACAAAAATGCAGATTTTCTTTGTATGTCGTGAAATTCCGGGGGTTTTGCGAAAGTCCGCAACGTTCTGGAAGTTTTGCGACATTCCGGGATTTCCGCGGAATCACGCGAATCACGCACTAAACAACGCCATAACTCCATTCAGAATGAATAAATTGTGAATCCGATTCCGTTTCCAGTTTCTCAAATTCTTCTGCGGAGGTCTGTTTGCGAAGATGTAACGCAGCGCCTATCTAACATAAAGGATACTGATAAGTAATATTCGATAGTACGGTTCTTGTAAATTATAGCGCACTAAAGTATGGCTGCGTATTTCTTTCCAGAAGAAACATAAGCGTTGGTGAATTCTGAAAAAATCACGCGTTTTTAAGTTCTATTTGTCATAACTTCTTTCGGAATGAATGTATTCTGAATCCGAAAAAAGCATTGTGCTCAGCTCGTCAAGATGAACCTTTCGATATGCAGCATGCCCTTGATATTCCTATTTCAGTAATTCGTGAATCTTTCTGCGACGTCACTTTGCAAAGATGTAAAGTAGCGCGCATTGCCCCTAGTAGACTATTGTAAGGGCGATTCGGTAGTACCTCCCTTGCAGATTAATGATCGCTAAATAGTCTCCGCAAACTTCTTTCGAAGGGAGATAGAAGGACTGGTGAATTGGGAAAAAATCTTGTCGCAGGAACTTCTACTAGCCACAGTCCTAGAATACGAAGCTATCTTGCTAAGCAGATGTGAATTTCGAAATCAGCAAGCCAGATAACCTCTATGAGCAAGTTTCTCGGGATGTTCGGGTTATTTCATTTTTTCTCGTTTTACGCTCTGGAAATTCGCCGATGGATATTGGTCAAAATGTTGATGCTCTTGAATTGTAAGGAAACTTCGCTTATAGAGGTTTTCGAACACGCTGTTTACGAAAATAGTGGTCTTTGAAGAAGACAGGGTCTTTTTGTAGAGATATTGTGAGGTGACTGTAACTGAGTCATGAAAGTTCGTAAATTTGCCTGCACTTTTCGCGAATTTGTCAGAAAACTTGCCTGCTTGCTTCTCTAAGTCAAAATCACTAGGAACTGTGCTATCAAAAGGTGCATGCCCAGGCTCCAGTCTCCAAAGTTCTCCGAGTTACGAGCCTACGAAAACACGTCCTCATGAATTTCGCTCAAAGTGTAAAAATCGCGTATTTCGTCGAAATTCCACCCTGAGTGTTTGTATGACATTCTGGCTGCAAATATTATGTTCACTTCGCCTAAGGGATCCCATTGAATTGAATGTGGTGGTCTCGCGTTCTTCAGCTGCTCAATTGAATATCTAAGCAGCTTCGTAGCCTGAGCTCGGATCTACCTAACTTCCAAATTCAGCACAGTATGACCATTAACCAATGTGAACAGATTTGATCAGTATGTCATACAACCACTCAGGGTGGAATTTCGACGAAATACGCGATTTTTACACTTTGAGCGAAATTTATGAGGACGTGTTTTCGTAGGCTCGTAACTCGGAGAACTTTAGAGATTGGAGCCTGGGCAAGCACCTTTTGATAGCACAGTTCCTAGTGATTTTGACTTAGAGAAGCAAGCAGGCAAAATTCTGACAAATCTGCGAAAAGTGCAGGCAAATTTACGAACTTTCATGACTCAGTTACAGTCACCTCACAATATCTCTACAAAAAGACCCTGTCTTCTTCAAAGACCACTATTTTCGTAAACAGCGTGTTCGAAAACCTCTATAAGCGAAGTTTCCTTACAATTCAAGAGCATCAACATTTTGACCAATATCCATCGGCGAGTTTCCAGAGCGTAAAACGAGAAAAAATGAAATAACCCGAACATCCCGAGAAACTTGCTCATAGAGGTTATCTGGCCTGCTGATTTCGAAATTCACATCTGCTTAGCAAGATAGCTTCGTATTCTAGGACTATGGCTAGTAGAAGTTCCTGCGACAAGATTTTTTCCCAATTCACCAGTCCTTCTATCTCCCTTCGAAAGAAGTTTGCGGAGACTATTTAGCGATCATTAATCTGCAAGGGAGGTACTACCGAATCGCCCTTACAATAGTCTACTAGGGGCAATGCGCGCTACTTTACATCTTTGCAAAGTGACGTCGCAGAAAGATTCACGAATACTGAAATAGGAATATCAAGGGCATGCTGCATATCGAAAGGTTCATCTTGACGAGCTGAGCACAATGCTTTTTTCGGATTCAGAATACATTCATTCCGAAAGAAGTTATGACAAATAGAACTTAAAAACGCGTGATTTTTTCAGAATTCACCAACGCTTATGTTTCTTCTGGAAAGAAATACGCAGCCATACTTTAGTGCGCTATAATTTACAAGAACCGTACTATCGAATATTACTTATCAGTATCCTTTATGTTAGATAGGCGCTGCGTTACATCTTCGCAAACAGACCTCCGCAGAAGAATTTGAGAAACTGGAAACGGAATCGGATTCACAATTTATTCATTCTGAATGGAGTTATGGCGTTGTTTAGTGCGTGATTCGCGTGATTCCGCGGAAATCCCGGAATGTCGCAAAACTTCCAGAACGTTGCGGACTTTCGCAAAACCCCCGGAATTTCACGACATACAAAGAAAATCTGCATTTTTGTGAGCTGTTGTAGATAGCAAGGAATAGAGTAGAGCATGAAAAAATTCAAAAAGACTTCGATAGGGAGGCAACAGCCTATGTACGCGCATCGTTCGCGGGCGTGTGGACTCTGATGGAAAGATGCTCGAACACGCGTGTGCGCCGTTTCGCACCTTAGATCGATCACCTTTGTGGATCTGGATTTGTATGTCATACGCAGAAAACAGAAGTGTTCAGCTCATCTTTGAAACTCCTGTTGACAGGCGACTCCGTTCATTCACAATTTATAGAGCGGTGAATTTTTTTGAAAGAGCATCTATCTACTGCACCGAATGCGCAATTGAACCGAAAAAGCCTGTAGTTCACATTCTATAAGAGATAGAGCGGTAAAAACTCGCACAGCGTTTCCTAAAGTACATTCCTTACTGTATGTCAAAAATGATCCAATTTTGTGATATCATCAGTGATAAATGATAAAATGGTGATATCAGTGATAACGACAGATAAGAATGGCTTAAATTCACGCGGTCGATTCCCACGTTCATCTTCCATATAGATGCAGAGTTTCAGCCCAGGCTTCGGCGTGAAGCGAGTTGAAGCGAAAATGCCATTTCAGGTAAGAACTGGCAGCAATGGCATGTGCCGATGAGAAATCGATCGATTGCTGCAGCGAGGGATCTACCAATTGACCGAACAATAGAACTAGGAAATCCTGTAGATCACTTATAATGAGAGAAAGAGCGATAGAAATTCACACAGCGTTTCCTACACTACTTTTCTTACCATGTGCCAAAAATGATCCAAAAATATGATATTATCAGTGATAAATGATAAAATGCTTATATCAGTGATAAGGGTAAATAAAAACTGCCCATTTTTTCGCGATAGTCTTAGGTAATGGGAACTTCGTACCAGAACCTCCTATTCGCGATTTACACGGTGATAGATGTTCACAAAAGCCTTAACATAGAAAATAACAAGGTATCACCATATGTCTACCGTGTCACTATGAATTACGGACATATTGTATACCAGAAGATTCGTCTCATCAAGCTGAAACCAAATCTTCACGCAGATTACAAATAAAGCTGTTTTAAAAGAAGTTATAGCTAAATCCCGCTTATCCCACAAATCCCGCGAATCCCGCAAATCCCGCGAAGTCGCGAATCCCGCGGATCCCGACAATCCCGCGAATCCCGACAATCCCGCAATTTTGGACAAATTCTACCGCTGCAACTGTAGTGTTTACGTGAGTAAGTTGGAATTTTCATAGGGTGTTTGCGTGTGTCATGATTTGAGTCACTGAGTCATGATTTTTCTCGATTTTTCGGGCAGTTGAATCCTTTTAGTTTTTGGCTCAAAACTCGTGGTGGATGAGAGCTGTTGCAAAATCGAGAGTGTCATCTTGTAGAGCTTGCTTTGCTCTATCGAAAAATACTTTGCTACCTATTTAGAATTAAGAAAACGACTCATTGCGTTTGAAAATCGAAACGGGCATTAAGTTCCGGACAACCTGTTACAACGCAAGCTAATCAAGGCAGATCTAAGCACGACAACCTAATACAATTCGGAAATTAAAGTTACCTGAATATCTAGCACACCTCATTTTTCGAATGCGTTGCTCCGCTTCCATACTTACACTAATACTGCATTTACATTGTGCACAACTTTACAACTCAGTGTATACATATTCTCAAAACACATGACACAATGACATTTGATCAATCCACAGCCCTTAGGTAGGTGCCAGAGTAAGCGAATATTTTGTTCAAGTTGGGGTCCCGCGCAGAATTGACAGTCACTAACCATGCTGG